TTATATTTAATATAATACGTTTATAATAGGTATTACGTAAATAGCAGCTATATATATTGGATACAACTGAGTATTACCAGAATTACAACAGTCGTCTAAACCGAATAAAGCAACATTTTCACGGAACATAATAATACAGTTCTCGTGAAAACTGGTATCGCGTTACGAGAGCAGAGATTAATGATATTGTGCACCTCGAAACACATAATATTATATATGTAATTTTTCAATTTTATTTAATATGTTTTAACCAATTTTATAGCACCCGCCTAACTATGAATTGTACGTGTATGTGGCATGCTACTAATCATCGCGTTTATTGTACGTTGTCACTCTCATAACACTCAATTAAAGAAAAATATTTAATAGTACAATGAGATTTAAATGTATGTTTTCATGTTATCAGAGGTTAAGAACACGAAAAGACTTATCACACGCACGTGCGCACTCGAGCTGCGTGTAAGTGTAGCCCGTGGATTGCGAAACAATTAATTAAAATATTACAAAAAATGGCAATGAATTAAGCCATGAAGTGTAAATTGAAGTAAGTGTCATAAGAAAATAATGGGAATGGTTATCATACACCCAAAAACTAGCGCGGAACTGCCAATGCCTTAAAACAATAGCCGTTTCGACGGCGGTGAAACAAAATCGAAGTGCACGGTCCATCTACATTTATAAATATAATATATAGTAATATTTATATAATATATCATATAATATAATTTTTACATGCACACAGTTTCTTTGTTTATTGTACTTATGTGCGTGTATATATATAATATTATAAAACAAGGTGATTAGTCTATTTTGTGGCTACCTACTCTCTCGAGACCAGGAAGTAAAAGGCGTTTTCAAATACAGTCGAACTTGGTTATTCAAAGTTGAAGAAACCGGAAAAAAGTTTTTCGAGTTATCCAAATTAAAATGTTTTGAAATAGCACAAAATATATTAATTCCTATGTGTTTATACATGCATTATGTATATGTAATTTTAAAAAGTTATGCACTCCTATGTATAAACAAAAATGAGGTTAGAAAATTATTTAAAAAAGGTATTTATTTTTGTTTGAGTTTTGCTGTTGATTGTAGCATTTTTAGTGAGTTGTTCTAAACCACTTATCGGTAACAATAACACTAATGAATAATGACCTTATTTTTGATATTAAAATATATGCATAGTTACATGAAGGACATATGAAAACAACATAATATTAATAAAACTCAAAACTTCGAGTTATCCACGAAAATATTCAAGTTAAACAAGATTTTTTCACATATCTTAAATAGGTAATTCTAGGGACCGGAGAAAAATTTCGAGGTATCGACGATTTCGAGTTAAAGGAGTACGGGATAACAAATTCGACTTAACTAATTTAAATATATTTTAATATTGAAGAGATGTGAGATTCTCGGTCTTCATTGATGTCACTCAATTAGCAATATATTTTGTATTCTATGAAGTGACTAGGATTTTGCACTAGGGATAAATAAATTCGTGATGTATAAAACTATTGGCTTAAAAATATCTTGGATTTATAAATATCACCAAAATGAATTGAAATTTAAAAGTTATCCTCATTTAGTTTTTTGTTAAACTTTTGAGAAAAAGTGTAAATATTGTATAAAGGATAATTTATTTAAGAACAAAGAATTCAAAGGATTTAGTATCAGAAAATCGGGGTGTTTAAAAGACGTTCAATTTATTGGAAATAAGTATGACAATATCTTTTATTCATTTTTCCATGATGATAAGCATCAATTCCTTGCATGGCTTGATGATCATCTATCACAGAAGTGCATTTAAATTTATACGACCGAGAACCCGAATATAACGTTTCACAAAATCCTTCATTACGTGGAACAGTATAAAATCACATTTTGACGTGTATTAGTCGCCGCTGCTGAAACACGAGACGATACACCAAATCGAAATATGAACACATAAATATACATGCTCGACCGTGTAATGCGTATCTATTGTCAACACGTCATTGGATTGAAGATCGAAGCCACAATGCGATAATATATATATAATATTATATTTTAATGTACCTATCGCATTGTGCACATAGAAGACATGTTTATCATATTTTTTTCGTTCTTAGGATAAATTTATGATAATATTATTTTATTATTACGTTATCGACAATGCGTGTTGGTTATATTTATCGTTTAGATATATATATATATATAAATATATTATGGCTAACATTTATCTTTCGCGAATAGTTACATAGGTATTATTATATTATATTGTCGTTGAATACAAGATAATATACAATTGTGTATATAAATATATACATTATAGATCATATAGTGTAGACAGATATTCGTTAATCATTATCAGTAATAGTAATAATGTTAGTAATAATAACATACGTTAATAAAGTTCTAAGCAATAAAAATTCGGAAAACATCAAATAATTTAAATGAAATAACTTGTAAATTGTATAAGAAATAAGCAGACATATAGCAGTTGTTCTACATATCTACATCATCAAAGAAACATAATAACGACTTTATGATTAATGCATCTAAGACATTTTAATTTAAATAGAATTTTGAATAATTAAAATCATTAAATCCTGATATATTCAATTAATATAGTGTTGTAAACACATATCCAGTAATTTTAAACATTAATTTAATGAATATTGCAAATGGTTATATGTATTTATAGAGAATTAATATAACATATACTTTATGTGTCGACTACTCTACTATATCGTATTGTGCATACTTATTGATAAAAGTCAATATTAGAAATACCGATTATATAATATAGTTTGATATTATGATACATTTAAGTCGTTAATAAGCTATTATTTAGATTGATATTTAATTTGTGTGAACATCAATCAAATTTTTTGTTCATAACAAAAATGAAAGTTTAGTATTTTTCATTTTAAAAATGTAATTAAAAACGTAAAATACATAAATAACCATATATTATGTACATTACATATTATAATATAACATACTATAAAATATACAAAAAATACAATTTTATTAAAAACTTAAAAATTTAAAAATCAAGTTATTCATTGAATTTATTTTTTAAATTTATTTTGTGATAACTATTTATAAATTTATTTTTTATTAATTATATTACATATTTTTTCTTTCATTTTATTATGTTAAGTAAACTTCAAAAATATTAAAATTGAAAAAAAAAACTAATTTGAGTTTTGTTTGATCGTTATTCTTATTTTATAAGATTTTAAAGTTTAAACATAATATGATGTATACATACTACATATTATATCTTATATTTATAATATTACTTATAAAAGTTGATAAATATAATATGAAAATCATACTCTTGTTATAGTACGTTAATAATTTAATATTTTCTTTTATATGTTTTTTTATAACATTTATAGTGTTTTTATTGTAGTTTAATTATTAATATCAAAAGCTATATTATGCAAATTTATACGATATGCTTTAAATATAACAATGTTAACTGTTCCGCACAGTTATGTAAATAATTGTTTACTATCCTTAAAAAGTTGTTTGTATTTATTGCTTGTGTGTAAAACAATATTACTCATAATATAGTTGAGCGAAGTTCGTCAACAAACTAAATCACGTATAACAAAGTGTTTCTTAAGGAAAATAATCTAACATACTGAATCATTTAATACCAGAAACATAAATATAAATCACAGTATTATTAAAAAATAAAATTAACTATAATAATATGGTACATTATTTATATTTAAAAATACCTGGACCATGCACATATTAATTTAAGATTTTTGATGAGACTGAATAGCAATCGATATTGTACTTATAGTTGGTTGTGTTTTTTTTTCGTTCATAATTATTACTGCACGTATATTATAAAAGGTTTCGACAATTTCACGAATTTTTCCATCTAAAATATTGTGAAAACAATAACCTGTAAATTTGTCACCACTGTATCCATATATCGTAAATCATAATCATTTATGAATTTAAATCTGATAAATTATTTATAACTAAATAAATTATCAACACAATACACTCTGTTAAGTTGGTTTTTACAATACATTGAGTATAATTCAAAATATAAGCACTTAATTTTAATAACTAAAACATGCGAGTACAGATTGGTTAAAAATTAATGAAAAATAAACAAAAACTTGCCAAAAACAGATTAAATGCAATTACAGATTAAACAGGTTATATGGGTGTTTTATAATCTGTTATTAAATTTATTTTTACACTAATTTTTTATTGATTAAATTGAAAATATTGTAGTTTAAAAAATATATGAATTAAATATAAATCTAAATATTTTAAACTAGACGTTCATAGTTTATGACTTTCTCTAAAGTTCAATGTAAATAAATCGTGATTAATAATAGATGTATTTACTAAAAAATAATAAAAATATATTCTGTTAAATATAAAATTTATTAATACTTTTCAAATTATATTTTTCATAAAAAAATTGTTAAAATATAGCACTAATATAATACTTCAACTTTGGATGATAATACATATTATTATTATATTATATTATATATTTTAATTTTTGTGAATTTTATTAAAATAAAATCATGCATAATTTCTTTACCGGAGATTACTCGTAAAATATATTTTTTCCTTTAGTAATTTATTACTTGACCTAATTATACATACATCTAATAATCAAATGTGTTTTTAATACCTACACCACACACGTATAAATATGTTTATGTCTATTAGAACTCATTATAATTTAGGTACAAGAATATATGTATATAATAATATATAATATATAATGTTCGTAACCTACTAAAGTTTACTTAGTTAATTAACATATTTTTTTATGTAACACTATGGTTTGCATTAACATATTTTTATTTTTTAATGTTAATACATGAAAAACATTATGTGTAAGTAGGTACTTTAAGCTTGATTAAGAAATATGATATATAGTAAAAATTGCGTTATGAAAATATAAATGCGTATGATTAGATGGTATTCGAACAGAAGTAATCAGTTATTATTTTATGTTTTGTTCTCAGGAATTGGTCGTAATCACGCCAAATGAGCGAAACTGGCGTGGTATTCTTATCGCGCTTCTGGTCATTGTAGCCGTTTTGGGCTTGATAGTATTCTTTATCGTTCTGCTGTCACCGCCATACAAAGGTCCAAGAAATCTCGGAAGCAAGTTTACAGTTGATCAAATTGCCGGAGAGACATTCAAAGCGCCTTCATTTAATGGCTCATGGATATCAAGTGAGTTAATAATGTTATATATACAATTTACTACCTAGCTATTTATTTTATCGTTATTTGTTTGATCAAATTGTGATATATTTATATATAAACCTAAGCATAATGATTATATATAATAATAATTTAGATTGTAATAATATATCTTGGCTATAGTTTATAGCTAAAATTGTTTCTTTTCTATACCAAGCATAAAGATTGATTTAATTGCATACAATAATTTCAAGTTGCACATGAAGTATTACATAAATCATAATATTGACAAGTCTTTAGTATATACCTATAGTAAAAACACTTTAATGATATTTTAATGTTTATTTTTTCAAAATGTATCATGTTTGATTGTTTGATATGGAAACAATATAATTAGGTTGGAATATAACGCGATTAAGTAAAATAAATAATGAAACTCTCTGGTAGTTCATATAACAGCTATAAGTGGAATATTTATTTATTTTTTTTAAATATATTCTTACCTAAATTTACCTGAAATTTTAAATCAATTGAGTTAATTTTGTTTCACAGAGTATATTTAAAAAAATATATAATTTAACAACAATTTAAAATCATAATTAATTACAGTGGAACCTCGATATTTCAAAATTCAAGAGAAATAGAATTTTTCCCGACTTTTTAATTGAAGTTTTCGACTTGCTAAATTTAAAAATTATCAAGGTTTTAGAAAAAAATTCAATTTAGTGAACTTTTATATTTAATATTCATATATATATTTGTAATGTATATATAATTAGAGTTTTTAATGCTATTTTTATTATTTCAAAATAGTTATAAAAAATTCATGATAATAATGTAATTAAATAATTAATTATAAAAAGTAAGTGTTTTTTAATTACTAGACATCTTTGCATTAGGTCATACGTAACCTAACCTAATAACCGATCGATCACAAATTCATAACTGACAATACTTTTTGTAGCAACAATAAACCAAATAAAAAAATATTATAATATACAATTAATGCGATTAGGTTAAATTATCGAAACGCACAATCTAATTAGACAAATCATTATAACAACTATCTGTTCTTATCCGTCTATATTTGGAACGCAAAATTTTCTAGTTATTTATTGTGTTTTTTTTTCGAATAATCGAAGATTTTACAAAGAAACAGCATTTATTTCGACTTATAATTATCAAGGTTTATTGACTTAATGAGGTTCCACTGAATATTAATTCCTTTGAAATGTGTAAAAAAATAAAACAACACTAAAATAGAACTTGAAAAATGAAAAAAAAAAATACACTTCAGAGAATATAATATAATTGATGAAACAGAACTCAAACAGTAAATTTAATGATAATAAAATTAAAAATATATACAAAAGAAAATATGTAAATACTTGTATTTTTAAAATTAGCAAATACAACATTGTTTATGCTTAAAAATTTAAAATAAGGTTTTAATATTTTTATTTAATACATATTTTTCAAATTTTAAAAATATAAATATTTATATTAATTAATAAACAAATATGTTATTAACATTTAAATATATTAAAAATATCTATTCATTTGTTTTTTTTTTGTTTTTTTTTTTTTATTATTCGTTAAAGAAAATAAATGATAAAATTTAAATTTTATAGAACTTTTATGTTTTTTTTTTTTGAAACTTTATTTTTTGATAGACTCAATAACAAGGTATTTATTTTTTTCAGTTTTAGATACTTATTAAATTTAAAAAGAAAAATCTAATCTAAAGTATAATACGTGCCATTTATCCGATTCAACTTCTTATTTTTTTTTTTATCGAATTTGTAAACTTAAATAATAAACCAATGAATGTTCTTAAAGCCAATAATATAATAATAGCGTTTTTCTATATTATTTATACTATACAACTATTATATTATAATATCTTAGATTCTTAATAATGCATGTAATATAGTATAATTTCTAAAACGCTATTAATTTACCACTCTAAATCTTAAACACAACCTATATATCATTCGTATATAATTAAATAAGGGAACAAACATTATGGTGACTATATTAATTCCATGAATGCTATTGTTTGCATAATAATAGATTATTACGTTTAATTGATTATCATTTATTTATGTGTATAGTAATCTTAGAAATTGTTCCATTATGTTTCTAAATTACATTAAAAAATTTAATTTTTTTTTTATCAATATTTCTGATTTCAAAAACTGTTAAATGTAAAAATATGTCTTGTATAACACTGTTATTAAAATTAAATTTGTTTGTGATCTTTAAAATGTTTATAGTTAAACGATGAGTATATTTTATTTTATACAATTTAATTTCAAACACTTATATAAATAGTTATGATTTAAAATCAAATTTATTATTAACCAATCCTATTAAAAAATAAACAATAAATCAAAATTTAATGGATTGAAGAATTTAATGATTTAGATCGCCATAGTAATAATTATAATGCACAAATATTCATAATTTTGTCTATTTTTTTCTGACAATGTATTTAACGTATTAATAAGCGATATTGAATTTTAATACAACGATAGAGTACATATTACATTAAGGAATATGATTTATAAATATTTATTTATTTATATTAAATACTCATCAATCATTTATGACTAGCTATTGTATTATATTTATAATAAGAAAAATTACTACTATAGATTTAAATTCATTTTCTGGATAAAATAATATATAACTGTATGATTTACGATATTCTTGAATTTCAAAATTATTGTAACTGATGTGTTTTTAATGTTAGGTTTTTCAAAGTCACATAAAGCTTATATTATCATTAAGTTTTATTTGTGAATTATGGAAAAGTTATTAATGTTTTAGTATTTAACAATTATATTGTTTGTATTTAAAAAATTCCTTAAATGTCTGCATAATTTAAATTATAAATCCATAAAACCAAATCATATAAATAAATAATTTTAATGTGACAGTAATATACATTAATTTTACTGTTTTACAAATTTTATAATAAAAAATAAAAATATGAATATTAATATGTTATATTTTATGATAACTATAATACTCTTTCGATTTTATAAGATAAGATAACTTTTGATTACAAAAAATATGTATATTTTTGAGCGTGGAAACATGAGAGTTAATTTTTATTTTTTCGACTTTTATTATTAAGTTTTTTATTACTCTGAAATAATAAAAAAATTCAATTTAATTCTGAAATATTACCATATTTTTCATTTAATTCAACTTTGAATTTATGAAAATATTCCTTCAGTGAAAAATGCATGATGCTGACGATGTATAGTTTTTATAATGACTTATTTTCCATAATATACTATAATACTGTTATTTATATTTATTAGACATTATAAAATGTATTATTTCTAATACTAAGTTAAGTTAACAATGATATGCTATTCTTTTATTGAATATTTGATTTTCGAAAATTTACCAGCATATCTACACAAAGAATGTTTAATAAATACGGTAAGAGGATTTTTTTAAGTTGACCCATCGTAGTTTATAATATTGGTCATCAAATAATTAATTATTTTCAAAAATGGTAAACTACATTGTCACATATATATATATAAAGGATATAACAACATAATAATATTGTGATATCTTCGTATTTAAATTTTATCTAAATAAAATAGAAATTGTTTCTGAAAATTGTTTTACACTCGGTTGCTTCCATTATAATTCATTTTAATTTAATTATCGCTAAACAAAATCAGCCGAAAACAATTGGCATTTTCATATGATCGATTTTGAAATAAATACGTCGAATGGGTCACTAATATATGATCATTATCAAAAATATATCCATTCATCAGCAGTTTAAATCGTTGTGGGCGCAACTTTCCCTTATTATTAATTACGAGTTTCAGAACAAAAACGGAGAGACAGGTGACATTCTATAGTAATATCTATGGCCGTCGATTCGAGCCCGGTAATTATATTGTAGTCGTTTTCGCTCTAGGATGATTCCATGATAATATATCGTTAGCCGTTCACCAACCCACCGTGAATGACATCACTTTCACATAAAATTATTTTGAACACCTGTAATGACCTGTGAATAACATGCATGTGGTGTATAATAGTCGATAGAGTCCTGTGTTTGTATACAGATATTATGATGTGCCGCTATTTTTAACAGTTATCGAATAAATATAAAATAATTGTTATTTATGTATATTTATTTTTTTATTTTTATTTTTACAATTTTAATATAAATTATTTTAGGTCAAATGAAGGAAAAAATCAAGGTTATTTTTTAATAAATTGATTTGTTTTAATACATAACTATTATTTGGTGGATTTTCATATCAAAATGTAATTTCGTTATAACCCATTTTAAAATATCTCCATATGGAATGATGAAACTTGAAACTGTTAAAGTGCAATTTTTTTAGATAGTAACTTTCCTCCTTTATCCTACCACAAAGAAAAAAATATGTTTCATTTTTTAAGTATTGAAAATGTATGTATCAGTCGTAAAAATGAAAACAATTCATTTTTGTTTCATAATATAATCATATATTATAAGTTAACATTAAAATTCAGGTTTTGATTAGATTATTTATATTATAGGTAAAATTTACTTATTATTTATTAACGCGCTACAATTATGCATCGAAAAAACTAAATTTCTTTTTTTTTACCTATTTTCACCACATTTATAATATTATATTTATATACTGTATCATTTAAAAAAAAAAATGTAATTTAATTTATTTAAATTCTCTCAAATGTATAGTATTTGAACATTATATCCTACGATTATTTTACTCTTTATAACTGAGAATATTGATTTCTAATTGGTAAATTCAATTATATCAAAAACAATAATACTATCATTTTATAATCCATGTAATTTTTTTTTTTAAAAATAGGCGTAAATAGATGGAAAACGTACGATTCAAATTTATATTTAAAACACTGTAATTGTTAAATCAATACCCTCAACGTTAAACATAATTAAATTATACTCATATATTAAAACAATAAACATTAAATTAAACGAATTACATAAAATTGATCTAGACAGGTCTAAA